CCATGTGGGAATCGAACCCAGGTTTTCGCCGAGACGAGCGAACGCTTTAGTCACTAGGCTACCCCACAGCCCCTACAAGTATTAAAGGAAACGATTATACCACAATCGTCAAGACCGACCCGTGAAGATCCGGGTTAGAATTGATCTTCGGCATCCCATGTTTGTCATAAGAGCGACTAACGGCCCCGGGTTGATGGTTGATGCATGTCATCTTATCCCAGTTGCGTAGATCGATTCTTATGACGTCAATCACTGACTTGTCTGGTCCAGATTCGATTATTCAATTTGAGACCTACAGACCCGTGCAAAATTAAAAGTATTCGCACACTAAACGTAATTTCCATAAACTTACATGTTATTTCAGTGTAGCATAAATCATTTTCATGAAGTGAGTTTAGGATGGATCTTTGTAAAATTTGACAGGCAAATTTGAAATCATCTCTGCTCTGCGCACATAATTTCAGTTAAATTTTCCGACCACTATTTAACTAATGACATCAAATTTATCAACTGACGTATGGTTCCACAATGCACAATCCCATAGGCCGCCATGTTAAGGAGTTCCCGGCACTGGACACATGTTGATTAAATTGTTGCCATTTGATAAATATGCAACGAAAAATTAAACAGAAATTATGTGATTGTAGGTGGTAATATGATTCCTCACAAACGCGCAAAATTTGACATGGATCTTACGAAAATTAAATTCATGAAAAGTATTTATGCTACATTAAATTAACATGTAAGTGTATGGAAATTACGTCAAGTGTTACGTTTTTCACGGTGTCGTGCCGGGAAGGCTAAAATTTATTTTTCAGATGTCCCGGGAAGGCTAAAATGTATATTTCGAAAGGAGTAGGGGAGTATCGCCAAAGCTAAAGGGGCCCCAGCTTAAAATACGGTGCCGGGAAGCATAACCCATAACGGGAGTAGATAGATTTCTTTTCAAAACATTGTTATAGTAGAGTGTTTATCTTCTTCGCTTGTTTAGAACTGTAACATGAAAGTAATTACAGGGGACTCTTTACCTCGGTATTAACAGTGAGACTTGTTTCATGGTGTGAAAAATACAACATCAGATCAGAACATTGCATTGCAATTACCGGGAACGCTACGATCATTCCCCATGTGGCTCAGTTGCAATGGGGCGGTGGGGTAGCCTAATGGTTAAAGCGTTGGCTCGTCACGCCGAAGACCCGGGTTCGAATCCCCACATGGGCACAATGTGTGAAGCCCATTTCCGGTGTACCCCGCCGTGGTGTTCCTGGAATATTGCTAAAAGCGGCGTAAAACCAAACTCAGTCAGTCAGTTGCAATGTCTCCTTTCATATAAATATTTAGGTGTTGTTTTTGAAAAAAGCTTATCCTGGTCAAGACACATTGACAATATTGTTTTACAAGCAAAACGGGCTCTCTTTGGTATCTTACGCTCTTTTTCACAAATTAAACCATTGCCTTTGAGATTCTTTGTTAGTATTTTCGACTCCAAGGTTCTTCCAATCCTGATGTATGGTGTTGAAGTTTGGGGATTATCTGTGAGTAAAGAAATTGAATCAGTCCATGTTCTGGCCTGTAAACGTGTCTTGGGTGTAAAAACAGGAACATCTTATGAAGTTGCGCGAGGGGAATGTGGCAGATACCCTTTATATATCACAGCCTATTTACGCTGCATCAGGTAATGGGTAAAACATATCAGTATGCCAGATCACCGCTATCCTGAAAAGAGTTATGGCATGCTGGGTGTCTCAAATAAGATCCTTACTTTATAATCATGGTTTTGGCTATATTTGGGAAAGACAACTAGTAGACTGTGTTCCCTCTTTCATTGCTGAGTTTTCCCACAGGTTAAAATGCACCTATAAACAGCAGTGGCACGACAATATCGTTAATAGCCACAAATGTTATAATTATTCTTTGTTTAAGACTGTTTATGCATCATTGTTCGTGGAATGCTATATCTTTCTGGATACTCCTATACAAGTTATATGCAATATCTATTGTACCGTCACATAGCCTTGTTGTACCAGTATAAATTCCCTTACAATGTATGGACCATGTTTTACACAGGGCTGATGACACACACCACTGTACCGAATAAAGAGAGATTTCAGAATAACTTGAAATTAGGAATCCCGTGTTAACATGCATTTCGATACAGTTGTAGGACCTCGGTTTAACTGTGTACACGTATCCTGTCATTAGAACAGAGGGCGGTGGGTAGCCCAGTGGTTAAAGCGTTCGCTCGTCACGCCGAAGGTCCTGGTTCGATTCCCCACATGGGTGCAGTGTGTGAACCCCATTACTGTTTTCCCCCGCTGTGATATTGCTGTAATATTGCTAAGAGCGGCGTAAAACCCAACTCACTCACTCACTCACTCACAGCAAGGAATCCTGTCTAAGTGTTGTCCAGTTGATAGTAAAGTACTTGACAAATTGTACATGACCTAAAGTATATACCTAGGAAGAGTTTGTATCTATTTATCAGATGGTTCTGACACTGGTGTACTGATAACTGTTGGTCTTTATTTCTGGGTTTAGCTTTTGTCATTGAAGCAATGAAGTCCACTTCATCTGGCATATTTACAGATTTCATAATGAACCTGTAGCTCAGGTGCAGTAGTTTTTTTTAGAAAGTTGATACAGCGACGAGATACGAGGAACACGCCCTAATGTACGCTCACACAAAATAGAAGGTTTGAATGACAGGCTATATAAACACTCACTGCAGTTCTCTGATGTTCCTTCCTGATCACACTCATTTAGTGATAACGCTGGTAGGTTGTTTAACGCATCACTCAGCAATATTCCAGCTATATGGCGGTGGTGTGTAAATAATCGAGCCTGGATCAGGCAATCCAGTGATCAACAGCATGAGCATCGATCTACGCAATTGGGATACGATTATATGTGTCAACCAAGTGAGCCAGCCTGACCACCCGATCCCGTTAAATGCCTCTTACGACAAGCATAGGTTGCTGAAGATCAATTTTAACCCAGATATTCACGGGTTGAGGTAGGTAGGTAGGTGGGTAGGTAGCAATCAATATCCCCCCGGGGGACATCAGAATTAGGCTTCACACATTGTAATCATGCTTTATGAAAAGGATAAAGTAAAATCTACCGGGGATTTTGGGTGAAAATATTAACATAGAGCAGATGGACAAACTTTAGGTTCGACGGGTTCTGTGGCCAGGTGTTTATATTTTTAACCTAACCTGAGATATAAGTTTTTATTTGTCTTAAGAACTGTGAGACATTTGAAACAACATTTATAAACTATTGAAACCACATTTATTATATATCACAATCAAAGTATGTATAATGGGCCCAAGGCCTTTTTATTGAATAAATCTGCCTGTCTGTCTGTCTGTGTAAACTATTGTTTGTTTCCAATACGCGGTATGTGGCACAGGCCCTAGTGTCTTTGCGAGGAATAATTATTAAAAGAATATTGTTTTTGAGATGACCCCGACTCAAAATGCTTCACAGTACAATACGTCATAATGTATTAATTATACTGTGAAGCATTTCGAGTCGGGGGGTCATCTCAAATTTTTGTATATATTTTATAAAATCTTTAATCCTCGCAAAACACTAGGGCCTGTGGCTGCAGTGAAACGCACGTAAAATATCTATCTCTGACGTATGTGTGAGGGAGGAGGTTCCCAGAGGTATTATGGTTTACCCGTCCCGCCCACGTCGTAGATAAAAGGCATATAGTTCACAGGCGTGACTCACGTAACCTTGGGACCTTTCAATATCACCTGAATAGTGAACGTAGTGGAAATCGGCGGATGGGAAAGTTATTTATCTGCATGTTTACAGTTATAAACATACAGTGTGGTATCGCGTATTACCTACGCCTTAGATATGAGTCATATCACGCACGCTCTGGTGTGGCCCTGGCCTATTTTATTGTTTGAACTAAAAACATAAACTACAATATCTGTGTCCTCTGAATAATGTTTGAACAGGCTGTTGAACATGAAAACGGACACAGATCTGCTCCTAACACATCATGTAAAAAGTTATTCAGTTACTTTTTGTATAATTGCAAGAGACTAGGAAAAACCGATATGGCATTATTACTCCGATACTCATCGAAAACATTCAAGAAGTGACTGACCCCAACTAACCCAATTTCAAACTACAATAGTCTTAAACTAATTTCTGAATGCAAAATCTACTACCAGAAACATCTACGTCCTACGGCAGTTGCTTTCGTATCTTTTGCGCTTATCACTTTGTTTTTCGTATCTTTTGCGCACAACACTTTGTTTTTCGTATCTTTTGCGCACAGCACTTTGTTTTTCGTATCTTTTGCGCACAGCACTTTGTTTTCGCACCCTTTGCGCACAGCACTTTGTTTTCGCACCCTTTGCGCACAGCACTTTGTTTTTCGTATCTTTTGCGCACAGAACTTTGTTTTTCGTATCTTTTGCGCACAGCACTTTGTTTTCGCACCCTTTGCGCACAGCACTTTGTTTTCGTATCTTTTGCGCACAGCACTTTGTTTTTCGTATCTTTTGCGCACAGCACTTTGAGTTCTCATCTGTGGTGCACACCACATCACGAGTGAGTGGGTGAGTATAGTTTTACGCCGCTTTATTGCAATATTCCAGCAACATCACAGCGGGGACACCAGAAAAAGGTTTCACAAATTGTCCCAATGTAGGGTCGAACCCGGGTCTTCGGTGTGACGAGCGAACGCTTTAACCACTAGGTTACCCCATCACCCCTTGAATGCACGTCGACAGAACACTAGTATCATTCATACTATGTACCCTGCGGTAACTACAAACATTGTAAACGATTGAGTGAGTGAATGAGTGTATTCCAGCAATATCTCGGCGGGGGACACCAGAAATGGTCTCCACACATTGAACCCGGGCTTTCGGCGAGAGGGACGAACGCTTTAACCACTAGGCTACCCCACCGCCCGTGAACGATTGAACAACTGTCGCCACATGTCAATACAAAATGATAAAACAGATATAATGTTTCCGATAAAGTAAGAAAATATTTATTTGTCAAAAATAGGAAACGTATTTGCACTTTCAGCACAATTTATACACCACAAATGGTCACACATTCGGCTCCTGGGAAATAAATATTTACATCAAATTGTCAATCAAATCTAAGCAGAATAAAAAAAGCACAGTAAATTGGTAAAATAAGCAAATATTGTGTACAATAGAAGCAAACAGCACTATGGGTAAAGTGAGTAGATGCAGAGGATTTGACTGCTTGTCATATGAGACATTTTATCATTAACGATCACATTGGTCCTTGTTTTGCAGCACTATTGCAGGTAAATTAGTAACGGATTCAAGACTTAGTAATTAGCTGTATCCAACATAAATGGGGATACAGAAATGAAATTATAAGGACGGCTACTCGAACAGCATAAATCAGTCAACACGACCCCGACACCTCAGTCAGCACGACCCCGACGTTTGACGTTCTACATCAGTCAGCACGACCCCGAGCTTTGACGTTCTATCTCAGTCAACACGACCCTGACGTTTGACGTTCTACCTCAGTCAACACGACCCGACGCTTGACGTTCTACCTCAGTCAACACGACCCTGACGTTTGACGTTCTACCACAGTAATATTGACCCAAAGGCGTGAAGTTCTGATCCCAGCAGCTAAACTTGGTCATGACTGTGATGAATATGACTGGTGAGGTCTTTATCTGGGACATGGCTTCGGGAATGCACAAAGGGAATGTTTTGCATAAGGATGTTGATTTGTGCAACGTTACTGTTTACACAGCCTAAGGAAAAGAGCGTGCTGAATTTTAGGATTTATATCAAGGCAAATCTGACATTTGATATTGGTTTCATCCTTGTGTGAGGTTTATTTTTGAATTAACATTCCAATTCAGGCTTAGACATGTTTACTTTAAAAGCTAAGCATAAATATTATGCGTCATCTTATTGCAAGCCAGGTGCATAAACTATATACACTAACCACGCGTCTTCCTTTGTGTTTCATTGTCTGTATCTATGGTAACAAAATCTATCATACTGGACATGCAAGATAGAACCAAAGTTGTTGATTAACAATATCTCTCCGATTTTGTTCATTGTTCATAGAATCCCTTTCACTAATTTACATGATGTACTTCAAACATTAAAGTCATCATTTCGCATCTGGAACTTAAAATCAAATTAATGAAACAGTTATCCTTGTATGAGTTTCATTTTAATTATTTTGAAATATATCATGACGTAATCATGATAAATTTTGAAAAAGAATAGTAGAATTATCCTCTAGCACAGTTTTAGAGACAAACTTAGTCGTTATCAACTGACATGACGTTGTTACCGGATTTTCGTTGTTGTTGTTTTGTGTGTTTTTTTTTTCAAATTCGATTTAACCACTCAATGTAAATTCGAATGACAAATTATAAAACATGTTATGACGTTGGTATATGAAAATGTAAATTAACAGAAACGGGTGAGGGCATGAATGACTTCACAAAAACAATCAAAATGGTGAGTATGTTTTTACGCAAATATTTCAGCAATACCCAGCAACATCACGGCGGGGGACACCGGAAATGGGTTCACACATTGTACACATGTTGGGAATCGAACCCGGGAGTTGGCGTGACGAGCGAGCACTTGCGTCACAAGGCTAACCTATCACCTGTGTCGGTTGTGTAAAACAAGACATGCACACAACGTGACCAATATTCTATCTCACAGCACTTAATCATGATGTGAAATGTGTGGAGAGTTGCAACACATGCTACAGTGTTTCCCCTTAACCCTGAAAAGCTGCAGGTCCTAAGGACCCAGAACAATAAAACGTTATGGGTCCTGATCAGAATGTGAAGGCCCGATATTTTAGCAAAAATAGGAGACAACATTTGCTAAATTGCTTCTTCGAAAATGATAGTCATTTCACTTACAGACAACAGCTGGTGATCGAGATAAAAACCAGAAATTACTGAATGATATTTTCTGAAAAATAATACTGTTATAGTTATTGGGAATGAAAAAGTTGTCGGCAAAAAAGGACCTACAGAAAACTAAAGCTGTGGGTCCGAGTGGTATTCAGGCAGCTTCGGGCCTAAGGACCAACGTTACTTTCGAACGTTGCACATGTTCACCAGGTAAGTGGCTGTTTGAGCTTCATAGTGCGCTGACAAGTGCTGTGATATCATTGGCATGTCGTACCACAAACGACACCAGGGCACGAAGGCATATCATGTACTGAACACGTTTCCACAGTGTTGTTTTATCACCATGTTAGCAACATGAATGTATTATCGAAGCCAACTGTAAGTCACTTACATTTACAACCTGGAAAACGTGGGAAGGTATATATCATATCTCTGTAGGGAGCCTTCCATGGTCAGTTACAACTTCAACTACTAATTTGATGTTCAATATTCATGAAAATCGAGGTTTGTGCTTAAAAATATTGGCCAGGGTGCCGCTGTACAAGGCCATCTTAGGTGGCCTTAACTCCCATACTTTAGCATAGCCTAAGGTAGTCAAAGCACTAAGGTGACCTTAACTCCCATACTTTAGCATAGCCTAAGGTAGTCAAAGCACTAAGGTGGTTTTGTACAACAGCACCCCGTTCTATAAAATGGTGGGACAATACAATGGACAATTATGGATTTTTAGAACTTCTCGCAGGTTCTTACCAAGAATGTACACTGTAACAGTTCAACAGATCACACATATTCTAACAACGAAGTTCCCTGATAAATTTTATATTTTGATATTTTTAAGAAATTATATTATGGAAGCTGGCGAACTAATCATCAGAAATGAAAATATTATATGTCCATATATATGTGTGTGTTAATCTCATCTTGTGCTTAGGTTAACGGCTTGGAAATGCCCTCGGTTGAGACAACTTGGCAGCTGATAAATTACAACTATGTACATAATGTGTTCGAGGAGAAGGGGTCTACCCTAACGTCGCCTCACGTCGACAGAGACAGAGTCCGATATGCGGGCACCAGGGCATGATGACAAGCCATTGTCTGTGACATATTTCGTCATGTCCAAATATCTGAAAGTAATGCATATAACGTTAAAATTAGAATACTGACCTACAGAACATATGTCTGCACTGACCCGTTACACCAGCTGCAATATTGTGTACAACAAATTATTGACCTGACATGAATCAAGCATTGGTAGAATTAATACAAAATGATAAACTGAAACTAACATCAACCTCATGCGCATTCCGAGGTAGAAAAACCCCACTATCCCATTAATGTCGCATGTTTGGTTGTGATTTTAAATTGTTTAAACGCAATACTCCAGCTATATGGCTCCTGTTTGTAAATAACCAAGTCTGGACCAGACAATCCAGTGACTGACATCATGAACATCAATCTACGCAATTGGGACACGATGACATGTGTCAACCAAGTCGGCGAGCCTGACCACCCGATCCCGTTAGTCGCCTCTTAAGACAAGCATGGGTTACTGACGATCAATTCTAACCCGGATCTTCACGGGTTAAATGAATTGTTATTATGGAAGCATGCATCATTATTAGAAATGTATACTGATTGATATTTTAAACTCTTATATATCGAAGGTTATTCTGGAGACATGTGTAATAGCATTCTGTAACAGAATATGTAATATTCTGTAACGGCTCTTAACACGCACACGTGATATATTTTGATCGTTATGAGGTTAGGTGAGGTGAGGTGAGGTGGAAATTGGGTTTAACGTCGTGCTTGAGAATATTTCGTTCATATGATGACGTGCATGCGTGTGTATGTGTATGTGCGGCTGCTTGTACTAGCCGAGACTGAAGCTGGTTTTATAGTGCTAGCCCAATGAGATACCATGCCGCAGTGAAGCATGAATACCCCACTCAGACACATTATACTGACTCCGAGCTGACCAGTCCTTGTTGTACCCATTAATGCCGAGCGCCAGGCAGGGACCAACAAGTACCATATTTTAACGTCTTTTGGTATGACGCGGTCGGGGATCGAACCCGCGACCTTCCGCTCTCCGATCGTTATAGGTAGACATAGATGGTCATCATGAACATAGTTAATGTTATGGCATTGTTGGTCTGGATTGCTGTATTTTGTCATCGTGAATTATGCAATATTCATGTTGTCTATCCCTGTATACTTACTGTTCCCCGACGATCATCTGTGAAATGCCACCAGAAAATGGGGGCATATTGTTGTCCTCGTCCTGACCGCCGATGGTGACGGTGTATGGAGTTTTTGAGTCACCCCCACCGAAGAGAGCCCACCCACCCCCGTAGCTAATGGACGCCTCTTTGCCCTGGTACTCCACTTTCAGGGTGCTGCCAAATAAAAGTGGATAACAAATCATTGCTTTTCTTCAATCTTGAGATCTGAGAAATAATAGTGAGTGAGTTTAGTTTTACGCCGCACTCAGCAATATTCCAGCTATATGGTGGCGGTCTGTAAATAATCGAGTCGGGACCAGACAATCCAGTGATCAACAGCATGATCATCGGTCCACGCAGTTGGGATACGATGACATGTGTCAACCAAGTCGGCGAGCCTGACCACCCGATCCTGTTAGTCGCCTCTTACGACAAGCATGGGTTACTGAAGATCAATTCGAACCCGGATCATTACAGGTTCTGAGATACAAATGAAAAGTAGTTGTGTTATTTAGTATATCGGTTGAAGAGTCTCCGAACCTACTTGACTGTAAAGGGCGGGCATGGAGAGTGAGTGATTATAGGTTTACGCCGCTTTTAGCAATATTCCAGCAATATCACGGCGGGGTACACCAGATATGGGCTTCACACATTGTATTGGGAATCGAACCCGGGACGCTTTAACCACTAGGCTACTCCACCGATCCCACGGGCACGGTGCATGATTACTTGTCAAGAACGAGAAATCCGTATCGAAATTTGATTTCAATATCATATTTTTCCAGTGAGTGAGGGTGTATTTTAAACCCATATCAACAACCTATGCCAGAAATGTGTCGCGAAGACTTGGTTTGCATCAGGTCAGTCTGAGTACAATGTGTAAAGCCCATTTCTGGTGTCCCGCGCCGTGATATTGCTGAATATTGCTAAAACCTGTGTAACACTAAACTCACTCACTCACTCACTCACTCAGATCAGTCAGGGTCGAGGGTGGGAAGCAGTGCTAGAGCGATAGGCAAGGGAGACAAAAGTATATTCATAAAATATGTAACATCAAATTAAACAATATAAAGAATGTTTCTTATTGCTTTGTTTGTTGTATCAAGACATAAACAAAGGATGCAGTTTCCAAACAACATACTCGCGTGTGTCTCAACAGGAAGCATCCTCAATCGTCTTCAAAGTATTAATGGCGCCTGTTTCGTTTGCAAATGTTACGATTGTGTCCCGTTTTGCCCACAATGTAGATTTGCACAAGTCTCTAAGGTAATCATAAATAGTTTAAATGATAAATTCTATAAAATATAAATATTCTTCGTCCTGTCCGCTTATCTAGACTTGCCTCTTCGAAGGATAGAATTACTATAAACCAATGGGCTCAATGGAGCAAGGCTACCCACAATGGTGAGGTTTATGATTACAATCGATTATTGAGCCATTACTGAACTCCGATTATCGCTATGCATATTGAATGCGATAACCAGAACTAGTAGGGGGATGGGATGGTTATTTTCAGCGGAAATCCCCCTTTAAGAGATATTGCTCACCTGTCCTTATCTGTTACTTTGATTACAACAAACATGCTGTTATCATCCTTTGCATAGTCAAGGCGACCGTCGTAGGATTTCACGGACTCGGCAATGACGATTCCATTTTCTTCCATGGAAATAATGGCATTGAAAGTCTGGAAGAAAATATACTTCAAATTACAATGTGAATTTATGAATGCCTGATCGCAAGAAAACTTTGGGGTTTTGTAAGGAAAAGATTTGACTTCAGAACTAGCCTAACGTTCTGTCAAAGCAAAAGCTAGCTTCATTTAATAGCAATAAAGAAAGTATCTACGGCCAGACTACAGGAGCGCGTATATAAACATAATTTCATATATCTAATTAAATAAACAGAAATAAAACAGCCATTCTTCTCTGTGTACTGATTTACATAAAAGGATATTCTTCAAAGCATTTTACGATAGAATATCATGGAATGTTAATAACGAAGCATTTGTCAGTAATAGTCTATCTCACACAACTTGTTACACATACTACTCAACATTTCTAAGGATATGTTGAAGCAGAACCTGGAAGATCAGTGTTCATTCTGGTACGGAATGTTAAGTAAAATAGAAAACATACATTCAACAAATTTCCGTTTCATTGTCTTAACTGGGGAAGTTGCGTTTCTTCAAAATGTCATTTTTCGCTTTGGGGAGTGACGTCACTGCGTCCTCTCGTAACTTTTCACAGAATGTGTGCAATCTGATGGGATGGATGTCTTTAAAATCGTATCGTTTGAAATCGAAGAGGTACTTACAATCATACCGGAGTGTTAATAATAGAGTGGAGAATTCTCTGGATAATCAACATGTAGGTGAATACACATGTAGGTATCAATACCTCTTTACAGATACGTGTAAAATGTTCCGCCTTACTCCATCTGCTTGGTAACCATCCTTACAAATGTTGTGTAGCATATAATAAGAACAAAACAGACGCCAAATTGTCCATGCAAAACTATCACCAAAAATCCTTCCTATGAACCAACAAAACATTTAAACACTATGTCATTATTCGCTGAAAAAGAACCAATTCAAGGTGACAGTGTGAGAACACTTAAGTTGTTGACTAAAGCGCCCTGTAAATACTTCAGCGATATTATAAGTTTGTGAGTCTTAAGCGGCGGCCACATCTTACAGACACGCACATAAAGTCCGTTTGACTTCCTTTGAGACCGATGCATTGCCCACTAACACAAAATCTAATAATTGCAACAAAACCAAATTTTGCACAGTGACATGAAATCGACAGACCAACTCTGATGATTTGTCTCATAATTTTGGACACCCGAAAAAAAAAGTATTTCAACAAATGGTCATTATTTTGCTGTCATTTTTCGCTAAAATGTCATTTTTCGCTTTGGGGAGTGACGTCACTGCGTCCTCTCGTAACTTTTCACAGAATGTGTGCAATCTGATGGGATGGATGTCTTTAAAATCGTATCGTTTGAAATCGAAGAGGTACTTACAATCATACCGGAGTGTTGATAATAGAGTGGAGAATTATCTGGATAATCAACATGTAGGTGATTACACAATGGTATCAATACCTCTTTACAGATACGTGTAAAATGTTCCGCCTTACTCCATCTGCTTGGTAACCATCCTTACAAATGTTGTGTAGCATATAATAAGAACAAAACAGACGCCAAATTGTCCATGCAAAACTATCACCAAAAATCCTTCCTATGAACCAACAAAACATTTAAACACTATGTCATTATTCGCTGAAAAAGAACCAATTCAAGGTGACAGTGTGAGAACACTTAAGTTGTTGACTAAAGCGCCCTGTAAATACTTCAGCGATATTATAAGTTTGTGAGTCTTAAGCGGCGGCCACATCTTACAGACACGCACATAAAGTCCGTTTGACTTCCTTTGAGACCGATGCATTGCCCACTAACACAAAATCTAATAATTGCAACAAAACCAAATTTTGCACAGTGACATGAAATCGACAGACCAACTCTGATGATTTGTCTCATAATTTTGGACACCCGAAAAAAAAAGTATTTCAACAAATGGTCATTATTTTGCTGTCATTTTTCGCTATTTCTTACGAGGGGGAGCACTTGCTGGTAGAACAGCCAGGTAATCAACAAGCGTTTCAATATCACACGTACAACTCGCACACCTGTCGATTTCATGTCACTGTGCAAAATTTGGTTTTGTTGTAACTATTAGATTTTGTGTTAGTGAGCAACTCATCGGTCTCAAAGGAAGTCAAACGGGCTATATAGTTGACCGTAGTTGGGGTGAACGTAGTAGACCGTAGTAGACCCTTATTTGACCTTAGTTAAACGTAGTTAAACGTATCAAAGCGTAGTTCAACGTAGATCACCGTAGTTATAACCATACTTTGAACTTCAGCAAACCCAGGATTTGGCCGTGGTTAGACCAAAAACAATTTCAACATGTTCAATATATCTCTACGGTTAGCTTGAATGCCATGACCCTACTGTTACCGTAGTTTGATAATTGGACGTGGTTGGCCCTAGTTCTCCCTAGTAGACCGTAATTGACCCTACTGCATCGTTGTGTTGACCGTATAGTACACCGTGGTAACATGGCTACGATCAAACTACGGTTTACTACGTTAATCACTACGGTCCAGGGCCCCGTTCCTCAAAGCGATCGTAGCGCTAAGGTGATCGTAACTCCCATACTTTAACATAGACTTACGACTGTCGTAGCGCTACGATCGCTTTGAGGAACGGGGCCCTGTAGGACAACGTTCATGATCGTAAGATGTGACCGCGCCTTAAGGTTCATACACTTTGCACTGTCAACTTGAACTGCATAATATAGAAATGTTCCGGATATCTGAGTTATGTATTTCCCGTTTTTCAGAATCTACGTCACAGTCGTTGAAATCCTGGCGTCTATGCTTTGTTGATTGTCTGCTACTGATGCTTGTGCAGAGAAGCTGGTAGTCATAAGAGTGAGTATGGTTTTACGCCGCTTTTAGGAATTTCGCGGCGGGGAAAAACCAGAAATGGGCTTCACACATTGTACCCATGTGGGAATCGAACCCGGGTCTTCGGCGTGGCGAGCGCACGCTTTAACCACTAGGCTACCCCACCGCCTTTGGTAGTGATAGGAATTAACAGTAAAGAAAACCTAGTTGCAATAACAGAATTTGAAGATGTTTAATGGAGAAAAGACTGAAATGAACTCTCGACATACTAGGTATTAGGTTTAATAATGTGACTTTCTGTTACGTTAACATGTGACGGAGATTATGAGTCCTTGTGAAAATATTGACAGAATGCATTCCCTTGTACGATCATTGTTAGTTGAACGATCATTGTCATAGCAACCGTGTAATTTGAAACGACCGAAGAAAAAAGGGAGATTACTCGCTACTGCAACATCAACACGTGACTTTCATGCACGGGGAACACTTTACAGCTAGAACACGATAACCTTTCAGGTTTAACGATAATAATAAAAACTGGAAATAATATTTCAAATACACCACCTGGAAGCGATCATATATATGTCCAGAAATCCGTTCTAGTTCAAATCGTGTCCAATTTATCAGTCAAAACTTAAAGAGAAGATCGCATGTCTCGGTAGATAATTTAAGTAAAACCTGTTAAGTTTTTAACCCATTGTAAACCATGCGAGACAATGATAAACAAACGCATCCAATACGATAAAAAGTTTATAATTACAAATGCCTTTTAAGTTACAAAAACACCCTTTAACCTATCAGTTGCGTTTGTTTCTAAGGTCGCATACAACTAGATCTATACAAAACTTGGTGAGTGCTAAAAGTCGTGTCACCTTAGGCACATCGTCCTCATCATAATAAGCCTGTTAAAATCAAGCAGCGCATTAGAAGAGAAAATCTACAAGCAACTGCATCAGAGGTAGTCCGCCCTCCAAGATCTCATGAGTTGCAAACTAAATATACACTTTGTTTACATCCAAATTACGTTAAATAAACAAACGACTACAACACTACACAAATTAACACTGTAACATAAAGGTGATAAAATGTTTCTGGTGCATTCGAAAGAGGCAGGGATGAATATATTTTTAAATTACTTTCTTCAAAGTTATTTGTCAAGTAAGATATACTGTGCATGAATTATCTTCAGAGCACAATGCGTTATATAAAACTTGTATGGCCCCGTTCCACAAAGTCATCCTAGAGCTATGGATGTCCTGGGACGTACTTGTTAAGTTAGAATGGCCTCGTGGAACTCAGCCCAGTAGGAACACACAAAACTTTAACCTTTCGCCAAGGCCGTCAAATGGGAAGATTGGTTTACTCCCAAAAGTCATACATCCCAATTGTCAGACAAATCAATTAGGCTCGACTGTGAATACAACCTAGTCTTACCCACTGATGTAATGAACCTGTCCCATACACTAACCAGATGGTTTTCACATTTGTACAGAAATACTTTGATCAGAATACCAATGTTGACAGGCTTACTCAATCACTGGGATCCCCAAATGTGTTTTCACAATGTACTTACACATATACTTAAGAAGTCTAAGAAAAGCTTTTCTGTGCATGTATAATAATATTAAATCATGTGTTCAATCAGTCATTAATTCTGATAATCTGTATTCTTCTTCAGAGCGTTAGATTGTATTTCTAGAGACAGTAGGACTTTCACACCGTCACGAACCTTGACTTTCGTTCATCGATGCGTATCGCAGTAGTTCTACTGACGTATTTTAAAAGTCCAAGAAATGTTTCTTCTTTCTTATAATTCTAAGATTTATACCAGTGGACAATTCACGGGTTTCGAAGGATTGTAGTGTCAGGTTGTCAATGTATTATCAGTTCCAACAGTCACTCCCATATCTATATCGCCCAACATGAATCCTGTATCGGAGGTTAAACCACGTCCCTTTATGCGATCAATAAGGTGATGCGTAAGTGCCGTGTGTATGAGTGAGTGAATTTAGCTTTACGCCGCACTCAGCAATATTCCAGCTATATGGTGGCGGTCTGTAAATAATCGAGCCTGGAAGTGACACTTCTGAACATCTTCCTGGAGTTACTGACAGGAAAAGATATTTACAAGAACATGGTCTTGACGAGGAGGAAGCGCAACTGACCAGAGTACCCATTTTGATTCTACTGTGAGTTACATAGTATGTGTCCCATATTTCACAGAGATAAGTAAAGTGATGTACATACATCTCCCTTCTGGTACTGTAATATTGGCCCTAGACTTGCACGGGTTGCGACGATGACGACGGCTGCAGCATCCTCCGTCGTCCCGTAGGCGATCGGCGAGCTGGTATTGACGAACTGCACACAGGTGAGCAGGGGCTAGAAGATAAACACTGACATTGAACACCAAGGATCTGCTGTGGACGTGAACGTAACCATGATTTCAAAACGGAACTTTGGTAAGGAGACAATATGGAATTTTTCAGTCGCATTCCAGAGTTTTCTACCTCTCGTGCTTCCAGATCACGTTTGTTTGTTTGTTGTTCAACTCAGCAATACTTCAGACTGGATCAGACAATCCAGTGATCAACAGCATGAGCATCGATGAACACCATTGGGAACCGATGACATGTGTGAACCAAGACAGCGAGCCTGACCACCCGATCCCGTTAGTTGCCCCTAAAGACATGCATGGGTTGCTGAAAACAATTCTAACCAGGATCTTAACTGGTCGCCAAATCACATTCATCTGGACAGTTTGAAAGGGGTCCTGGTTTTACAAAGTCTTGCTGCACTAAACGTACCATTAGCTCATTCACATTACCAGTGAGTTAAATAAATCTTTTATTGTGCTGTTTGTATACCACTTCCAGTTTGGAAGCGTAACTATTTGCAATGTCTTAATCCAGATGAAAGAAAAGAGTAGTTTTAGACTGACGTCCCCAGTGAATATGATGCCCCAGCTGGAATATTGCTGAGTGCGGCGTTAAACAACAAACCAACACACCAACGTTACCCATTAGCAACAACACTACATGTATGGAATGCTTATATCAGACACATCTGAATATTCCGCTCGATTTGGCTTCCACTTACCCACGTTTGTTGTAACGGGAGTCCAAAGTCAGACTTAGTTGATTGCATAAAATCTTTACTGTACCAGGGGCTAGAGTTTCGAAGTTCTCTTAGCGCTAAGATAGTCGTAAGTTAATTTTAATGTATCGCACTTACGACTATCTTAGCGCTAAGAGAGCTTCGAAAATGTAGGCCCTGACTGTTTCCAAACCAGTTCCATATGAATGGCTGTAGCGCCGTTCAACAATATTCTGATCCCCAACTTGATTTAAACTTCAGTGTAAGTCAACAAGGTTAACAGAAGATGGTATCCCCCTTGACTCACTCACTCACTCACCTTGTTACTGGTGCAGCTGCCGATATAAACACCCTCTGCACGTTCAACATCTGACATTGTCATAGTGACGTCATTGATCTGAAGCTTTCGCACGCAGCCAATCAGCGGCCTGCACACAATATATAGAAGCCATCAAAACATGTTTACATTTCCAATCTGAATTTATATGATTTAGTTTATAGCTTTCATTACGAAAGTATTAAGAATACATCATCTGACGTTTCCAATTCATTAACATATATAAGTAAACTTTCAGTTCAAAGTAACTACTAAAAGTAATGTACCCCGTGATACGATATTGATCATACCCGGTTTGCTTGTCATAGTTTGTCCAAGTTAAAATAGCTTGGATCTGACACAACCCGTCATGTCTAAGAGTAAAGATCTGAATAACATGAGTTGTGTTCATTTCGAACCTGACCATGGTCCAGGGACCCGATCCACAAAGCGTTCATAACGTTACGACCTGTCGTAACTCTGTGGTTTAGCATAGGTTTACGAATGTCTTTGCGCTACGAACGTTTTGTGGATCGGGACCCTGATCCGCAAAGCGTTCGTAAATTTACGACCTGTCGTTACTCTATACTTTACCATAGGCTTACGATGTTGTAGCGCAACGAACGCTTTGTGGACTGGGACCAACGTTTATATTTGAATGTAAAAATCAGTAATCAATAATATATTATGTCTACATCCTATCAATTACTCATAGTTCTGCTAATTTGATTTTACCTGAACTTGTCCCCCATTCTCCCTCGGTGTTCTGGCAGCATCCCCCCAATGAGGATGCCCTGGGTGGGGGTCTGTATCCTCTCGGGGCGCGTCCGCTCTATGGAGAAAAGTCCTTCTTTGCCATCGATCTCTGGATACGTCTTACTGTCCCTGTATCCGATCTGAGGACATACATACATTGGGTTCATACAGGACACAGTCTCCAGTATATGTACACTGATGGAGCCTGACCCGATCCCGTTAGTCGCCTCTTATGACAAGCATGGGTTGACCACTTCTGACCTGGAGTGAGTGATTGATTTTAGTTTTATGCCGCACTCAGCAACATTCCAGCTATATTATTATTATTATTATTATGTGGGTATTTACATAGCGATGTAGTCCATCCCACAAGCATGCTCAAAGCGCTTCTTTGTTTATCCCTCGATCACTGGATGTCAATCTCAGCAGCACATCATATTATCAATCTCAACTCCCTGGGGATCATACAACTCTTGCTGCCACTAGGCGCACCGAGTTAATGCAACTTTCTCATCCAGATGGCGGCGGTCTGTAAATAATCGAGTCTGGACCAGGAAATCCAGTGATCAACATCATGAGCATCAAAGTACGCAAGTGGGATACAATGGCATGTGTCACCAAGTCAGCGAGCCTGACCACCCGATCCCGTTAGTCGCCTCTAACGGCAAGCTTGGGTTGACAACTTCTAACACAGATATTCAGGGGTCTCAAAACTGCCAGTCCGATAGATAATTCACATGCTTCTTAACAGGAAATAAGTACAAGGTCAAATGCATGTAATGGCTAACATGTGAGCAAAACGCAAACATACGTACACATAAACATGGAAGATGTTTTATCAAAAAGTATGACTTCTCACTGATGGTTGCTTTTAGTTTTGCACCTCATGTAAAATATTGTGGATCCACTTGTTCTTAAAAAGAAAGTTTTAACATCAAATACAGTGAGTGAGTTTAGTTTTACGCCGCAACAAAAGCAATACTCCAGCTATATGGCTGCGGTCTGTAAGTAATCGAGTCTAGACTAGACAATCCAGTGATCAACAGCATGAACATCGATCTGCGTAATTGGGAACCGATGACATGTATCAACATCAAGTCAGCGTAAGCCTGACCACTCGATCCCGTTAGTCGCCTCTTACGACAAGCATGGGTTACTGAAGGCCAATATTCTAACCCGGACCTTCACGGGCCGGTTAACATCAAACACAAACAAGCGGCTACTATGTGATTGTTCAGACAAGCTTGTCCTCTTGTGTTATCAGCCTACCTTTAGCGTGTGGAACATCCCATCATTATATTTGCTGTTTTCTTCTATAAGAACCACTGCTTCTGATGGAGTCGTAGTCTCAATGTACAACGTTCCGTCTTGTAGCTGTGCACGTAGCTGGAAGCCCTGCCATCAAAGTTGTGACAAAATTATTGTTGAAAGCAAACTCGTGGTTCAAACACGTTATTATAATATATGTAGTCATATTTTAATCTGATTATATCTATCGTGCAGGTATACCTGTCTCTAGAAATATACAATACATGTATATTGAAATAAATTATCTGGTCAAACCATAGAATACATTGATCGCACAATCGATGAATGCATCAAAGGAGATAACCGTGTCTTCATATTAACGAATATATTTAAAAAGATCCTCCCGACTGTAACCAGAGTGGAAGTGAATGGTATTATCTGACAAGTATTTAATTGTATCTAGTGCAGTTAGAATTGCCTGTTGCATTAATCGTTATTCATTTCATGTGTTCGTATCAGCATCAGGACAGGTTTTCCCTCGTGGGTAAAACGCATGAGTCCCATTCAGTGCATTGACATTGCTCTATTATTTAAAGTCCGCATAAAACTATATTTACTTAGTTCCCCGAATTATCAAGAAGAGTTATTCCATAATGAAATGGGAGTGACCTTGAGAACAAGTCACTTTTCTAAATTAGATGCAATGCATGACAACACTATGAAAAAAGATTGAGTGAGTGAGGGAGTATGGTCTGATTCCACTTTTAGCAATATCAGGGCCGTAGTTAACTTTTCTTAAGGCGGGGGACACCAGAAGTCGGCTTCACATATTGTACCCATGTGGGGAGTCGAACCACTAGCCGCCCTACCGTCCTTAAAACATGAAGAAAATACCAACTTACTCTCTTAACGACGGTCATAAGGAAAGCGTTCTTCTGTCTCGTTCTGAACTCAAAATAGACGGATCTGGTCCGATGTCTCAACTGCGCTGTGTGGACCGGGTAGTGGGCGTATCCGTTCCCCTCAAACACCATGGAGGGAGGCTGCAGCGACGGGGAGCTGTAGGGAGTTCATGGATCATGGTATTAGAGTTAGTTCAGCTGAATACTGTATAGTATTTGAAATATTTATTTTTCTTTGTGTAATTACTTCTTTCTAATGTTATTCTTGAAATTATAAATTATCATTATTTTTTAACAGATCAGATTCAATCCAACAGTGTCTGCTACCCATCACGTAGTGGGGCCGATACTCACCAGCTTGACGTGCATGGAGCCGGTACTTTGCCGTCGCTGGTCTTCTGTAGCAGGCCCACCGACCGACCGTTCACCCTCAGTCCGCCCACACAGCCCTTCCACACGTCACCGTTGAGGTACATCTGCAACACCAGCAGGTGAGGATACAACACCCGCAGGGAAGGAATTCGCAACCCAAATAGGAATACTATAGAGATAGGATAGGGATACAATACTAGCAGGATAGGGACTGACCAGCAAAATAGGGATTCGCAACCCAAATAGGAATGCTATAGAGATACTCTACAGCTACTACACCCTCAGAGAGAAAATACGACATCTCATAGGCTTCATATCCGATGTGACAGTTTACTCGAACGGTTAAATTGTAGTTTACTTATCCAACCATATACAAGTATATAGCTATTCAAGTTATACAGCAACTATACCCCTGAATCATAAGAACATATCGATTTTCAGCATAGGCCTACATACGGGCACTGTGTCGGGTGCACCTCCAACGTAGGCGGCTAGAGGCGGGGGTTGTCCGTACGGCATTTCCACAGTGTCTTCCACAACGTCGGCGTCGTCACTTCCTTCTGGCCGAACCATCAGTGCCACTTTCTGACCATTCCTGGAGAAATAATTCAAGGTACCACAATGTGAAAACTCATAAAATTTGAAAAACAATTTCCAACGAGACGAATCTAACCGAAATGATTCTCTACCATCTCCGCTGCATCAAAATGAATGTCCTTACAGAAAATGCCCCCTCTGATTCCACGTCAGTGCTTTTCACAGAAAAGGAAAAAACCCGTAAACAGGACAGTGAAGACGTCGTGTTCATTATTTCAAGCTAGTTTAAGAATTGGACAGCTGACTGAAACATACTCGAATTAACGTGTGTGATAAATGGAAAACATATCACTTTTCTAGCCGTGAGTTTATGCTACAGGTTCTCCCAGCACTATTTTGCAATGTCCTTACAGTGTTTGTTAAAAAAAATCAGTTCCGATAAAATGTCAAAAGTCGTATGTGCGTGATTATTGGCTAATGGTGCACCAGCATTCTTTTAGCTATTGGCAGCCAGATGTAACAATTGGGTCACACTGCGTTCGTACCTCTGTATGAGCACGTTATACCACTTGTCCTTCTCGAGGGAAATCTTGCTTTCAACGTCCCCGGTCTCATAGCCGCCCTTGTCGTAGACGGTCATCGTCAAGGTGTTGCTCGACATACTAAGGCTGTAGGACTCCTAAAATTGACAATGGTTTATCTCGGAGGGAGGACATTAAGTGAGTTATTTGGTGTAGAGGTTAATGAGTACGTTTTCCAATACACGTTTGGTGATGAGCAACATATACAACTCAATCCCTACTCCACCCCCATTAGGCACTACCTGAGATCACCATACGAATATCCACCCTCACCCCTACCCCACCTCCATTAAGCACTACCAGAGATCACCATACGAATATCCACCCTCACCCCTACTCCACCCCCATTAAGCACTACCTGAGATCACCATACGAATATCCACCCTCACCCCTACCCCACCCCCATTAAGCACTACCTGAGATCACCATACGAATATCCACCCTCACCCCTACCCCACCCCCATTAAGCACTACCTGAGATCACCATACGAATATCCACCCTCACCCCTACCCCACCTCCATTAAGCACTACCAGAGATCACCATACGAATATCCACCCTCATCATCACCCCTACCCCGACCCCATTAGGGCACTACCTGAGATGACCATACGAATATCCACCCTCACCCCTACCCCACCCCCATTAAGCACTACCAGAGATCACCATACGAATATCCACCCTCACCCCACCCCCATTAAGCACTACCAGAGATCACCATACGAATATTAGAAAATATTAAATGAAGTCTAAGGCTTCTTCGTTCCCGGTGTTACTTCCAAACAATCACTTCGCCATATTCCGAAACCATAATCATCCATTACTCACCCAGAGGAAGCTGTTCAGTCGATGTTTGTTGAGGAATTGTTCAGCTGACGTCGTCATTCATAAATTGTGTCTACTTTGTATGTTATTGTTAATCAAAGCTACGTTCAGTAATATTCTGTATCAGCTATATCACTGCGGCTGATGGTCTGTGCCTCAAAGTCCCTCTGACTACCACAATAAGCCGGGTATGGGTTCGAATCCCAGATGTTTATATTGGTTTAGTACCATAGCCATGCCACTACCCATGTACTGACTGAAATTTCGTTCTAAAGAGAGTTTGTTTGTTTGAACATATTTTATTCAGTGTTGAAATGGATTGGGCACAAGTTATGTAACTTATTACCGCCCGCTCCCATCAGAAACATGAACAATAATGAACAATAATGATTGGACGTAATGGATGGTCATAATAATATTGAGACATATTATTGATTAATTGAAGCGCTTACTTCGTACAATGTATTTATGCACATGTCTAAAGATATTTTCATTGATAGTATTTGGCGGAGCAGGGTTGCCGTAAAGAATGGTATCAATGTCTAACTGAACTTTTGATAGTTCAAAGTCTTTCTTCAGATCAAAACGGCAACTCACAAATTTTGGACATTTTAAGAAGAAATGGTTAGCATCTTCCACCGGAGCACCACAATTGCAAGCTCTACTCTCTGATAGATTAACACGAAACAGATCTGCTTGTAATGAACTACACGAATGTCTTAACTTCGTGTGTAGTATATTTGTCTTATAAAGAGAGTTTCACGTTTCAATTGTTAAAAGTACATCTGACGATAGGACAGAACTATACAAATCAGCGACATCAAAAACTTTAATTCATGTGTTCTCACCGAATTGTTCCCAGACACCAACAGGATTTGTCCGTCTGCTACTTCCGGTCTGATACAAACTTCGACAGACGTGCGCAGGGTTAGAGACTCGTCAGAAGCGGCAAGAGGCAGGGGGAGATAACCCTCATCTTGTTTGTTAATGCTCATCTGTAATGTGATACCGATATGAATCATGCTGATTGTGTATTGGATGTGTTCAAAACTTATTTCATTCAAATAGATCGGTTTGTTCCGTTGACAATGGGGTCTTAACTGCCTGTATTTGACTGTTATTGTAGCAACATTTCAATGCGGCGCACAGTTAAATTAAAATACAATGTTTCAGATAACCCAGACCTTCAGTAAAATACAACCTCCTTTCTCTATGTTATGTTTTAGATACTATGTGAGTGAGTGAGTTTAATTCTACGCCCCTTTTAGCAATATTCCAGCGATATCACGGCGGGGAACACGAGAAATGGGCTTCACACATTGTATCCATGTGGGGAATCAAACCCGGGTCTTCGGCGTGACGAGCGGACATGTTAACCACTAGGCTACCCCACCACCCTAGGTACTATGTCTCTTATAAGGCATGTCTAACGCACCTGTATAGAGGCGAGCATCATCCGCGCCTTCTCCACCTTGCTCCTGAGACTGGAGATGTTGGCTTGTATCTGGCCAACAGTCACGTTCACTCCCGTCACCATTGACGGAGCCAGTCGGGTCAAGGTCAGTATGGATCGCATTTTAGCCTGCGCTTTACCCTCTGTGCAAGTAATAGTAAAGAATATTTATTTAACGGCACACTCAGCAATATTCAAGCTATATGATGGCGATCCATTGATCCAACTTCTAAATGCCTCTCAAAGAAGTCATCCATATATTGTCATCATTCCTTATATGATGGTGGTCTGTACACAATCGAGTTTGGACCAGACAATCCAGTGACTGAAATCATAACCATCGATCTACGCAATAGCAATACGATGATATGCATCAACTAAATCTACGATCCGGACCTCCCGATCCCGTTAGTTTCTTAGGATAAGTATAGGTTGCTGAAGATAGATTCTAACATGAACTCCACTGGTGCTATGTTAAGCGCGCTCACGCACGCACGCACGCGCACACACACACGTGGTTCTTGAGTCCTTTTACTGGACAAAGAATAAAAGAATGAGTGACGGCCTTATATTTGAAAGTCAGCTAAAACTTACTTATGAAAAGGTATACCTTTGCTGCTTTCAAGAAGTGAGTGAGTGAGTATGGTGTTACGCCGCTTTTAGCAATATTCCAGCAATATCACAGCGGGGGACACCAGAAATGGGCTTCACACTTTGTACCCATCTACGGTATCAAACCCGGGTCTTCAGCGCGATGAGCAGACACTTTAACCATCAGGTTTCCCCTACGCCCGGAAGTTTGAAGAGAAAATTATTCAGAAATAAAATTTCAAACCGTACTGGCTTCTAAGGCTGCAGCATAATCTTGGCTTTCACTTCCACCACTTCCTCCGCTTCCCCCATTGGTGGTGCCACCTGTCCCACCGCCGCCTTTGACCTCTTTCACTTTGCGCTCCGCCTTCAGCACCGCCTGGAAGGTCTTGCTCTGGGTGATATTATAGACCAGGTCCACTCTCTCGTGGACATCCTTAATCCGGTCGGAGATACGGTCAATATTGGGCCTTTCTGTGCGCCATTCATTCAGAAACTGCTTGGCTTCGTCCACAAATCTCCTTGAGGATTGCAGGTTGACCTTAGCAGCGTTCCACCTTGTAGAAAAGGCTGAAAATCGGAAGTAAATTAATAAACAGGTTGTGAACGTAGGTTGGTTTGTTGTTTAACGCCGCACAATATGACGTCGGTCTGTAAATAATCAACAGTGATCAACAGTATCCTTTGAGAAGACACTTTATCAGAATGAAGGACCATATAATACCAAAAATTCAAACCGTTTTTTCTTTTATAGATTTTGCTGAATTTATTTTGATCGGTATGTGACGAAGTACACGAAAAATTAGAAAAAACTCACCTCTTGATTTGTTTCTTGCCGTTTGTGATTTGACGAGAGTTATGTCCCCTTTTTGTCCCAGCTGAACCACGTGAATCCGCAATTTATCCCCTTAAACACAAAGTCAGATGTTGATTTAGAACGTTTAATTCAATACTATTTATAAGCAGTGTGCGAAATAATTTCCAAACTTTGCTAGCCAGTCAGGCTAGCTATGTCTGAAAGTTACTGGCCCACAAAATAATTCACTAACCCGAAATTTGAATGTAGAAACTAAGCAAAAGATTACAAATATATATGAGATCTGAATAAGATATTGTCGGCATGACACGGGTTTCATTATTAAGCTGCTAATATGATGAACATTTTTATCAAGCCATAATCTTGCATGATATAAAAGTGCATTATAACTTAACAATTCGGAGAGAGTGTTACATTTACAAAATGACCCCATGAAAATTCACTAGCCAGTCTGGTCAGTGACTGTGGAGATTTAATGCCCCACTGGATTTTTACTAGCCATGGGCTAGCGGGCCAGTGGCTATTTCGCACGCTGTATATAAGGGGTCTTATCTATACGGTTTTGATATAAATGTCCCACTATAAGTTCTACAAATCATTTCTATGTTAACTACAATGTAGGTTCCAGTCGGAGACCCATGAGAACATGAAGGTCACGTGATATTTAGAAGCAGACATCAGAGCAGAGGTGAATCATACAATGGTAAAAACGATCATTGAATAATGCAGTTCTCATGTGCAAATACTAGAAAACCAGCTGCCACATATAAATTATAGTGCAGAAGCCGTACAAATTCATTCAAAGTGTCAGAAACATTTAAGTGTAGACCTAATTACATGAATGTTTAAATCGTTAAGGTATGGCCATAAATTATCGGACCTTTCTTCCAGCCGATATGACTCACATGTCTAAAATCTAAGCAATACCGGTTTGGTTTTAACAACCGTTTTTCGCTGCTTTGTTCCCAAGTCACCAAAAAACAGAGTATTCCCTGTGACCTCACGTCAGTCAGAATGCAAAACTGTGAAACAATCACAGAAACAACATATTTCCATCCTATCCTCCGTAAGAGCAACATTTTTTTAGATCTTTGAAAGAAACGATTTCGGACAAGATTTTTAAAATACACTAAGATGCATGTCAATTATGTTCGAAAAATGTTTCGTTTCTCAAAAATGTATGCATTTCATCAAATTACATAATACTTGCAGAATACTGGACTAAACAGGACTGGGCGAATGACAAACATGTTTAAAATTTACCGTTCACCAAAACATAACTGAATCTATAAATAACTTGGACAAATGGGTCTTTTTTGCATCTCATCATCCCCATACAACACAGGTATTGTTTTTAGCAATATTCCAGCAATATCACGACTGGGGACACCAGAAAATGGGCTTCAGGGGGATCAAACCCTGGTCTTCGGCGTGACGAGCGACTGCTTTAACCACTAGGCTTCCCCACCGCCCCATGGAACAAAAGATTAAAACATTCATGTACGACAGCAATACTGAAAATTACCAAAGTTCTTTAACGAGTTGGCCGGAATTCTTTTGGGATTTTGGTCTTCGTCAAAAATAAAATCTGAACCATCTCCATCCGGGTCCTGTGACGAGGTATCTGTTCCGCGTGCACTACCCACGTCTATGTATTCGTCGCAGTCGATGGGGGTGGTGTCACCGTCATCGCCGGAACCCGTCTCAAGCTCCTCGCAGCGTCGACGTAGCTCGCCTTCGTCATTAATCGCTAATCGTATACGGTCTAACACAGTGTGGATTTGCTGAAATTAACGAAAATGGGCATATTTACGTGTACACACGTTGACGTTCAACGTTCACTCTCGCAACAATGCACGTGCAATTGCAGCAGTGAATACTTAAACTGAACAAAACATTGGTATAAAACATTAATAGACTAAGCATAGGTAGGTTTCTCCCATCGAAATCTATAATCTCTTTCAATACAGCCTGTGATGACGGCTGACGTTGTTTTATACGTCATCTCGGTCAATGACACAAAACAACATGGTCTAATCAGAGACCATATAACATTATATGGTCTTGGTCTAATCTAAATCAGATCTTACTGCTGGTTTCCATGAAGAAAATATCTGAAGACGTCCCCTCACAGTCACGTCAGACCGACTTTTCATTCGACCAATCACAGCGTCGCTGAAGAGTTCATAACGAGACGGTCGAACTGTGTTTTTTGGTCAAAGACATTGGTTTCCTTACACTTTTTTCTCGCTGCCGCAAATTTGCTGATTCGGCGCGATGCAACTTTCACTCACTTTCTTCATTACATCCTGCATATCTAACATACATAACATTTTCTTTTGAAAAAATATTCCCTGTTGGTGAAACAGTACATACCTGTACATGTGCGAGGAGTCTATCGGCGAGTAAGGTCGCCTGCAGACGGTATGACACTCCCCCACCTCTGTCTCCTCTGACAACATTCGTGGCCTGTCTTATCAAGGGGTTCATCAACCTAGAACAGACATCTTGGATTAATTCTCTAATATATTATGGGAAATACCTGGATCCATGGGATTCGACAGCTTCGTTTTGAGCCCGATTCGAGAGAAGCTATTAATAGTCGTCCAGTGAATACATTCATAGATGAGCGAAGGTGGAGAAGCTTCGTGCGAAGTTCTCGATAAAAGAAAATTAATGTAGATTGTGGCGTTATTTCCGAATTGAAACGATGGTAAGGAAGGGACTGTCTATAAGATAACTTCTGTAGGGAAACCATAAGACTGACACTGATGATGTGCCCTTGACAGACATAACTCTCGTTGGTACCGTATGTTTGTGTTGTTGTTTTTGTTGTTTAATGCTGCAATCGGCAACATTTCAGCCATTTTCCTGCCGCCTGTAAACAATCGGAAACAGACAAAATGGTGGTGGATGTTATGCGCACCGCTCCGTCGGGATCCGATGGCGTGCAATCAGCCAAGTGACCAGATCCATTACGTCGTCTGTAACGACATTGACTACAGGGGCATGTTGTGCCCCTATATAAAGCAGAAGACATGCATTATCCATGTGCTCACGTCAGTGAGTGAGTGAGTAAGTACGGTTCTACGCCGCTTTTAGCAATATCACGGCTGGGAACACCAGAAATGCGCTTCACACATTGTGCGCATGTGGGGAATCGAACCCGGGGTTCGGGGTGACGAGCGGAGGTTCACGTCAGTAGCAGCCTCTCCACATTTAGAAAACATTACAGTTAACCCCGGTAATCGGGACACTACGAATTCCGGACGATTGTGTTTTCTGAATAAACTATAATGTCACTTTGTTTGGAACCGATTGGATGATCGGGGTTTTACTGCATGTGACTAATGTGGCCTGACATGTGATTCCTTAGTGTTTGTAAAGGATGACCTAGGATTCCGCATTACAGGCCCAGGCTAGTTTTAGGTATATCACCTGGCGATTATCCTGGCGAGCTGTTCCAATTCATTGGCATGGTTAACAGCTCGGTCAATGATTGGTCGGAGTCGATCCCTTTCTGCGGCAGTGATGTATGTAGACCTTCTCGGCCTTGACCTTGACCTTGACTTTGACCTTCCGTGTGGTCTCCTGTCGGTGAAGGACACGGGAGCTAAAGGATTCAATCCTCCGCCCTTCTGTCTTCTTAGGTCTCCAGCAGCAATCAAGTTACCCTGAAGTTAAAACCAAGTTACTATTTGAGACCTTAAATGTTTTGAAAGACTCAATTAGCAGGATATTCTACAATAGCAGTCGATTAAATCCAATACACCATATTTTTTTTCACCTATTATTTGAGTACAATGTTGAAAGGCGGTTAAAACGAAGTTGAGCAGCCACACATGTGGCATTTTGAAAGACTCGGGTAGTAGGATATTCTACAATAACAGTCTATTAGATCCAATGGAACATAAATCTATAGCAGTGAATACAATGTTGACTTCGTTTTCAGTTGGATAAAGTCCTCAATCCGTCGACTCGTTTCGCTCGTGAAGCTCGTTCTCCGCTAAACGTTCTCGAACAAGTCTTACTTTCGAGACTAATCGACAGATATCGGACTTCAGTAGTACTGCAGTTGTTTTGTACTTTTAAAATCAGGTATCTGTAGACAACAAGTCTAACGATGCCTTAAATGTCCTGATACCTGTAAGTGAATGAATCTTGTCTTATGACAGAATCGGCAATATAACAGATATGTAGCGAACGGTAATACTTGAGGCCAGGCCAGACAGACCGTTGAAAGCACAAATACGTACGCCCGGTATTCTTGATGGCAAGTTGTCAGTCAGTCAGCTTGCCAACAATTCCGTCAAATGGCGCTTGGGGTAATCATGTGGTAACAGGGCTGCATAAAGGGCTTAGGGACAGTGTAATCTTCGGGAGTGCTACGGTAGCCTAGTGCCGAACACAATTCCCCACATGTGTACAATGTGTAAAGCCCATTTCTGGTGTGCCTCGTCGTGATATTGCTGGAATATTGCTTAAAGTGACGTAAAACTCACTCTATGTATATTAGAACTGAACAGCTTAAACAATGGGTGGGTCAGAAGACATTTCTATCATATGTTTGCAATAGGCTAGCAATATGTCGGGGATGAATCAGACCATCCAATCATATACTGAAGTAAACACGTGGCCTAAGAATGATTCTGCAGTCTATACCCTGGAGGTGGCGGCCGCATCTCTCAACACCTCCTTTGCCTTCCTGACCAAGTTGGACGCCGTTATGACGTCGTCTCTAGCCGTCCCTCCATTCGTCAGCTGCAAAAGCAAGGAGTGTAAACTTGATTGTTGAATCTCATTAGACGTCTAACAGCTGGAAACTGCATCGAAAATATAAACAAAGAATGAATCTTCACACTATCAGAATAGAATGTTAATGCAGGGCAAGAGAGTAAATAATTCTTGATTTTCATTTTATTGCTAACGTAAATATGTATGGAGAGTGAATCCTCTATCGCTCCATGGATATCAATTAAAAAACGTCACTAATCATTGCATCCATTTCCGCCGTCCTCGCAATCTCAGGTTACCTGCCCTTGGTTTTCACTCGCCACACTGATCGGCTACGCTACTGGACCTACCATACCAAATTTGGTATCACCGCCACCAACCACTGACATGAACCGAAAGGTTAGTCCGGGTCCCCGAAACGCGAGCCCTGGGAATATAAAGGGTGCGGAGAGTTTAGTTCTTACCGAGAACCTGCTCATCTTCCTTGCAACCATGGCGGTATCGAACTCGGCCTGAAGCTTCCAGACTGTCATGTTGACATGGCGGACTAAGTCGGAAAGCTCGCGTTCGTTGATGTTTTCAGACAGGATCTCCTTCAGCTGTAACACGTAGGAGTCTTGCTTCTGGCACTCGCTGAAAAACAGGTGCCCGTTCACATATATATTAACATACACCGCAAACATAAAAAGACCATCTCGATCATTGTATCTTCTTAATCTGTTTGGGGCGGTTATGCCTTATGCATCCTTAATGAGGGGCGGTGGGGTAGCCAAGCGGATAAGGCTAGTGGAAGACCCTGGTTCGATTCCCGACATGGGACAGTGTGTAAAGCCAATGTCCGGTGTCCCCCGATGTGATATTGCTGGAATATTGCAAAAAAGCGGCGCAAAACTAAACTCACTCATTCAATCTTAGTCTGTTTAAAAATCCAAACAACCCCTACGGTAACAGTCACTCCTCGACCGCGTCTGCAAGGCGGTCACAGCATATACGTTATCGTAAGTCTCATACATTAACTGAGTGAGTGAGTGAGTTGGGTTTCAGGCCGCTTTTAGCAATATTCCAAACATCACGGCGGGGCACACCAGAAATGGGCTTCACACATTGTACCCATGTGCGGAATCAAACCCGGCTCTTCGGCGTGACGATCGAACGCTTTACGACAGTCGTAGGGCGACGATCATTTTGTGTAACGGGTCTCTGGTCTGCTAACAACATACCTTTTCATGACTGCAACACAATACCTGGTCGCATTCACAACAAAATGTGAAACTGACAGCTAGTCTATCGCTATTCTTGTAATTATGATAACTCTATTATTTTTTTTTAAATATCTAAAATTCGATAAAGTACGTATTAATGTACTATGTACTTACTCGACCATATTCTGAGCATGATCAAACTCAACCTTCGTCAGTCGCTCCGCATTCCGCACCGATTCCAAATTCTCTCTAAAAGAACTGAATTTTGGCATGTCTGGTTTTCGGTACGTCCTTGGTCGGGTATCCCCCCCCTTCGATGCGCACGCATGTATATCTCTTTAGTGAGGAGGGATATATCCATGACGACATCTGAAACGGATCAGACCACATATTCTAAAGTGCCTGGACTCAGGCATATAGTCACAAATCCCCATTAAAACCACCAACTTAGTGTATTCCAGCTTCTACACTTCACAGAAACAGATGGATCTTAAACGGCCACATTCTACAATGATTAGCGCTGTGGAGAGGGGACTAACCGGCTAGCTTACTTGTTTCTGTTGTTTGTGTTGTTTTACGCCGCACCCAGCAATATTCCAGCTATATGACACTGTCTGTAAATAATCGAGTCTGCAGCAGACAATCCAGTGATCAACAGCATAAGCATCGATCTACGCAATTGGGAACCGATGACATGTGTCAACCAAGTCAACGAGCCTGACCACCGGATCCCGTAAGTCGCCTCTTACGACAAGCATGGGTTGCTGAAGGCCAGTTCTAACCTGGATCTTCACGGGTTCCACCGACTACTGTACATTGTATCTGATGCTAGCGTCCTAACTGACTGCAGTGGGTCGCTAATTGTAGAACTGGTGAAAACAGACTGAACCCGTTAACAAATACAAATACAGTCGTTTCACCAACCAACTACTCCAGAATGTATAGTTCATGTTTATAGCAAGCTCTTAACATGAAGGCTATGGTCATTGAATTTGTCTCCGGCAATACAATATAGTGAAACAATATAGTATCCAGACGTCACTTTCGTCCCGGTTAAGCGACCATTATCACGTAGTATATTCCAGGTATTCCTAACTCTTCACGTCCGGATAATACGGTTTTCTGATTAACGAGGTCCGGACTTTGGGGGTTTCTCGGTATAGTGATGCAACTCACCATACACCATATCGTTTGCCTGAGCTATGTTCCTGAGTTCGTGCCTCACGCCCATCATTATGGTATAGCGGGTATGGTTGAAGGCGAAGTCGTAGGTGTCGTGCATCTAAAACAGGAACATGTACATATATAACGTATATTCAGCAGGATGCAAGTATTCTCAGATGGCTTTGTACTGCTGGCATGTTTCTTGTTTAGCGTTGCATTCAGCAATATTCCTGCTATACGGCGGCGGTCTGTAAATAATCGAGTCTGGACCAGACAATCCAGTGATCAACAACATGAGCATCAATCTACGTAAATGGGATACGATGACATGTGTCAACCCAGTCACCGAGCCTGACCACCCGATCCCGTTAGTCGCCTCTTACGACAAGCATGGATCACTGTTGACTTATTTAAACCCGGATCTACACTGATTACACATGTATGTCGATGTATTCATATTATCGCTTTATACTTTGTTCATCTACTATGGCATGGACTATTTTTCCTGCGACATTAAATGAACATGTCACAGGTTGAGTGAAAGACACAACATGGTAGGTATCATTTAGGTAGCAATTCCAGCAATGGTATGGTGCAGAGATTGCCGAGTAATAGTCCGCTTATATGGCGCTCATATCAAGTCATGATAAAACTTCTCCATCTTTACATTTGACTAGATATTTGTTCATTCGGTTCGTAACATCTTTCCAACAATTAGGTCGAAATAGGATTTCGGAGAGTTGTTGTTAGTTCTGAAGGAAATGTATATGATAACGTTCCTACGTATTTCCCACATACGATTACGTTCACTCGTACAAGCCATGGGGAGGAATATATGAAGCGGTCGTAAAAGTCCCATAGCAGGCATCCCATACCCCGCTCACCCTCATCCGTATACGCCCATTGTTGTGTCACAACAATTGTATCCCCAGTATTATTGTAATCTTTATCAGTAATGATGATGATCAGGGTGAGGTGAAGGGCACAAAGTGACCCCGATGTTCACGGAGATTTTATCAATGAGAACGGCTTATAGTCGAGTGACCAGATCTTAGTAAGGTAGGGTAATGTGATCACTGTTACAGGGGCCGACTCATACTTGGGAGCGACATCAAGAACTGACGCAGGAAGTATTTAACCTTGTACGACACTGTTTGGTGGGACTGTACGACAAAGGTTGGGGGAGGGGAATTTACGTCATGGGGATTGGGATTGTACGACATATTTTGGAGGCATTGTACGACACAGGTTGGCGGGGGATTTGCGCAACGTAACACCGTAAGCAGATTACACGTGGGTTGAGAAACTCGCCTGATGTATGTTGGACTTCAAGGCCATTATGACCCGGTCAATGGAAGACACGAGGCGATGGGCAGAACTCCCAACGCTGGGATGTAGTCGTCGCTCCTGATGAAAAAAAGAATTATTACAAATAAAATGCTGCAATACGTACATGGAATATTAAAATGTAGATATAAATATATAGCTTTCATCTGAAACCAAATGAATGATTTCTGTGGGTACAGCACCATCATGTCATTTACACAGTTGGCTTTGTACCAGAACATTTTCGTAATTCTATGATCAATTTTTATAGAATCATTGTTTAATCATATCACTGTAACATATCAAAATGTGCAGAGATAAAACTTTACGTTACAACGCAAGGGACATATTCAATGTATATGAAATTACACATTACTTTATATACACATGGCTCATTAACACAGCAAGCGGTCATGTCTGTGTAACTGATGTGCCTAAACACGTGCACTAGAATTACCCTTTCATTGCTTGTTTTGTCAAAACCCTTTTCTTATTTCATAAGGTGTCCAGTATCCATGTGCAAACTGGACTATTTATTCATCAAATAATATTGACACGTTTCAAAGTCGCCACCAACGATTAAAACTGTCTTGAGTCGAAAAGCGCTTTCTTAATAAAAATCTAGAAAGACGGAAAAGCAATTATGTCTTCATCAAACGGGACGACAGCTGCGTGTATCGGATCCGGTTCAACAAACCAATCTTAGCGTAACGACCCCTTTTAAGTCAGAGTTAAAGAGTTCGAGATCTTCCGATCATCGTACAGCTAAATCGTTTTGTGGAACAAGACCCGTGACCTTTCCAAACTTGAAATCTGCTACACCCTAAATACATAATATGAAGCTGAACATCTGAAAACACTAACCAGTCTGTCAGCTTCAGGTGGCCTTTGTAGACGGTCGAATCCCCTCCCAAACCCGGCATAGTACTGGTCGTATGAGGCTCGTTCGTGGTGATCGGCCAGTACGTCCTCTGACTGGAACATGTCCTCCAGTGATACGGCGGCCATCTTGGATTTCTCCTTGCGTTGTCGATTCTTTCTTCTCTTCTTCTTGTTCTTTCCATGTTTCTTTTTCTTCATATTTTTCGGTTTTCCATGGTGATGTCGGCGGCGATGCTCTTCCGTACGTTTGCATCCTGGTTAAAAGCATAAGGCGTGTTAATGTCAGGATCATACACGATGCTGTATGTCAAAGCAACACCGCTTCCTTATGGAGCCAACCTTAGACCACACTCGTTTATAACAAAAACTATATAGATTTTAATCAAAGAGTCTTATTGAGTTGAAAGGTTAAAAGGTTGAAACAAGCTTGGTATATTTACGTTTTTCGGTTTATATGCATATTTTTTTTAAATTATATGAATTTTGTTTTGTTTTTTCTGTGCGTTACTATAGATCCGATTCGGTTACATGTAAATATTTTCTGGGTTTGAGATGATACGTCAAAATACTATTCATAATAATATATGGTATTCTGAGCATTTTATTCTCACGCATGTCGTATAACTTCGGCATGTACTAGTTGCGTGGATATGTGCCCTATATAAATATCCTATCATCATCATCAACTTGAACACTGAATTCACTACTGAAATGGTTTCGACCCTATCAATACGTAGTTGCCCATTGTGAAGCAATCCAGCGATCAACAGCATGAGCATAGATCTACACAATTTGGATACGATGACAAGTCAGTGAGCCTGTCCACCCGATCCCGACAAGGATGGGCTGCTGAAGCCCAATTCTAACCCGTATCTTCCCGGATAAAGTAAAGAGAGCTTAGAGGACGGATAACATAAGGATAAAGTGTTCAAATAACAACTAAGTCAGATAACATTAAATCATAATGACACTTTCCATATACCTATACCGGTATCTGAAGTGTACATAATGTTTATAAAACTGGGATCTGGTGTATAATACAATCTGTAGTTTTGAAAACACTTTGAGCTTCGATACATCCCGCAAGTCTATACTATAAAGTATCTATGTCTGTAGTATGTACATAAGGTTTATAACTCAGCCAGGGGTTAAGGAGTACATGGTCTCAGACAGCCCACAGACTGGGGTAAGTGACATTACGATAAGGCCTTTATAAACACCGGCTGTACAATACATTGTATATTGACCGGGACCCACATACACCCGTGGCGACAAGTAGCGAGACACACGAGACGCTGGGTCACGTCGGGTCAGCTGGGAACAAATCTGCTTTGTCGCTGACTCGCTAACATCAAAGTCGATTTGGGGTAGTAAGGAACGCTGAGCGATAACATCTCATTCTGAACACCGCTAAGAAGGTAACCAGTTCACCTGTAGCGCTATATGATGGTATTTCATTCATGGCTCAGCGATAACTGCTACAAGTGTATTGCTGATCAACACGCAAGCGTTGTTAGGGGGTAGTTTCGGGGGTAACTTGGAGGTGGAGGTAACCTGGAGGGGTCAAATGGTGAGATTTTTTTGTTCGTTGTTTAACGCTGCACTCAGCATATTCCAGCTATTTGGCAGCAGTCTGTAAATAATCGAGTCTGGACCGGACAATCCAGTGACCAACAGCATGAGCATCGATCGAGGCAATTGAGATGCGATGACACGTGTCAACCAAGTCAACGAGCCTGACCATCCGATCCTATTAGTCGCCTCTTACGACAAGCAAATTCCAAATCTTATTGGGTAAAATGGTAAAAACGGCATTAGCCACAAAAAGAGTAGTACAATTGTTTTGCAATGCTTTGTTTGTTTATTTGTTGTATATTCCAAAAGACGTTAAAATTCGGTACTTGTTTGTTACCCTGCCTGACGAGGACGGATCGGGCCGGAAACCGAATACTTTGTCTGAGAAGTGGTATTCATGTACTAAACTGATGTACAGCCAGCACCATTATAAGAGAAATAGTCCGGGCTATTCATCACACACGCACGCACGCACGCACGCACGCACGCACGCACGTATTCGCGTTACTATATACATGTAATAAGTTTTAACAGGACGTTAAAGCCCTTTTCAGTTTCCTTTATGAGCGCAGGCCATGCTATGCTCAGTTGTAGATAGGCGTGATGTCGGAACCTTCTTTCTGGGAGCAATAACCTTGAATGCGACGTTAAACATGTTTTCAGTTCACGCTGTGAGCGAGAGACTTGTTAAGGTAGAGTGAGTGAGTTTTATTTTACGCCACCTTTAGCAATATCATGGCGGGGACACCAAAATGGGTACACGTTGTGCCTATGTGGGGAATCGAACCCGGGTCTTCGGTGTGACGAGCAACGCTTTAACCACCAGGTTACGTCACCGCCGGCTAAGGTAGAGATTGAGTGAGGGACGTGTTGAGGCTGCTTCCGATGGTATGAATCACAGGGGTTCGAATCACTGTTTGGACAATAATTTTAAAAAATAAAAATCTAGATTTTTGCAACCGTATATTGTTTTTACATGTTATGAGTAACTTATATTTCAAATTTGAACGAAAGCGGTGGTGAAATGGATTTTTTAGAACATTTTCCCGCTACACTCATTACATAAAATACACTGTAATTTATGTAATGAGTGTAGCGGGAGCATTTTATGTAATGAGTGTAGCGGAAGAATTTTCTAAAAAATCCATTTCTTCACCGATTCGAACCCCTGTAGTGTGAAACCAGGATGTTTATTGAAAAGTGAGAAATAGTATACAAGATCATTAACGATATTCAAAGGAGTTCACTTCCGACCTCTTGTTTCATTGAAATCAATCTGCCCTGGAATAGCCAACCCTCAACAGTTAGCCTGAAGCCATTCCACAGTACACAGAGAC